AACTATATTCTCTCTATAAGTGCCTCGTCCGGCCTGATTGCTCTGCTGTCCACGGGCTCCAAGTAGACAGAAAGAAAACCCCACGGCCGTTTATTCCTGGGAGACGTTTACCTGCCCTGCAGAAGTTGAAGGGTGGAACAGGAAAACATTTTTTTTACAGCGTGACTGCTTGAGGGTGGGGAGGGGGGAGGGTGGGAATTCGCACCGATTCGATTGTATTTGCTTTGGGTCTCTCTACGTGGTGTTATTCAACAACTGATTTGAATCTTTTTGGCTGAGCGATGGAAGGAAGCGGGGCGCGAGCAGCCACCGCAGGGACAATCAGCAGCCTGCTTGTCACCACGGAAAGTGACAATCCACCCTTTTTCAGTGTAACTTGGAAAGTTCTAATAAAAAAAAAGAGCAGTTTTTGTCATTTAATTCCTTGTGTTTCCATTCTTAGTTTTAAAAAGGTATGTGTTTTCACGGGCCAGCAGCATGGGCAGGTTTGTCAGCTCTTTCTGCTTCCAGAAGAGAGGAGTCTTCTCCAAGTCAGCACGCATGTTCGTTGGAAACTCCTCACTTTTGGGTAACGTGGAGTGAGGGCAGAACTTAAAACAGTGGCTCCAGAAAAATACTTTTGAAGTGGTTTGAATGTGCTGCCTTTTTTTTTTTTTTCATTCAGCTCTAAAGTTGTAAATTAAAAAAAAAACCCACCAACAACAAAAACGCCCAAAACAGCCACTTTTCCTGGCACAGCTTAACAAAAATGCTTCAGCTGGCTTTTTGTAATGGGTTTATCGGACAATCCTTTTGCTTTTCCATGTGTCAGCACAGCAGCTGGTATGTTAAATACTAAACTCCACTACTATCGATGGGATCGTAGTGCAGGAGTTACAGATTTTGCCGTTACGGACTTGGAATCCTAAAGAGGGAAGACGAGAAAGCTTATAATCAGCTTTAACCTAACAATTGTTTTGCTAATCTTTACTTCAGGAGGCTCCGTATTTCTGTAAAATACAGTAAAATGAAGATTCTGGAGCGCAGCAGACAGCGTGCCCGCCTTGCCTTGGAGTCTGCCGCGTTGGTCACGTCCCTGTTGCTGAGCAGCGCAGCCAGGACAGGCTCCCACCAGCAGTACCCGCTTACCCAGCGCCTGCTGGCTGCTGCAGCACTGCTGTCTTCAGCGTCCTTCGGGGCAGGGTTAGGCGAGGGCCTTCAGTCTCAACTCTCCACTCCGTAATTTACTTTCACAAATTACTTCTCTGGTCGGCCGTTCAACACTTTTCACACTAACTTGGTTGTTTTCCCTCAAAGTATATGGATTTTTATCGCTTCTGCCTGCTTATCCGCTGCCGAAAGGAGCCTTTCCGTAGCGCTTGTGTAGTTTTCACTTTCCTTTCCCCCCCGCTGTGGGTAAAGGACGGAATTTGTAGGTGTTGGAGCGTTTAGCACGCGTCAAACAAATTTCTAACAAGCTTCTCTGAAAGGTCGGCGTCGAGGCCGAGCTGGCGGCTCTGTGAGCAGCAGGACTTGACCGCCGACGTTTTGCCGGGCTCCGGCGATTTGCCGGGCTCCCACCAAAACCCCACGGCACCTCGCGTTCGCCCAGCGCACAGAGCGCCGGCGGCCGCGCCGATTTGGGAGGGGGACGACTGCCCCACCGGCAGTTCCCCGTCCTCCAGGAAAGCCGCCGTGTAGCGAAAAGCGATTTGCCGCAGCGCTTTCTTCTGCCGTTACCGTCAGTCCCACGACTCCTTCACCAACAGCTTTTCCTCTTACCTTTGCTTTCCGGTAGCGCCGAGGCCCGGAGCGCGGCGCGGGTCGGGACCTTTCTGGCGAGGGCACCCTGCGGCGCTGACAGCCTGAAACAACAGCGGGGGG